CGTGGCGGCCGTGCGGCCCAGCAGCTACGTGGCCGTGAGCACGCACACGCCCGCACCCGGCTTCCTGGAGGACGCGTCGCGCACCGTGTGTTACCTGGACGAGGAGGAGAACGCGTGGCGCACGCTGGCCGCGCTGCCCCTGGAGGCCAGCACGCTGCTGGCTGGCGTGGCCACGCTGGGCAACAAGCTCTACATCGTGGGGGGCGTGCGGGGGGCCAGTAAGGAGGTGGTGGAACTGGGCTTCTGCTACGACCCGGACGTCGGCACGTGGTGCGAGTTCCCCAGCCCGCACCAGCCGCGCTACGACACAGCGCTGGCCGGCTTCGACGGCCGCCTCTACGCCATCGGGGGCGAGTTCCAGAGGACGCCCATGAGCTCCGTGGAGCGCTACGACCCGGCCGCAGGCTGCTGGAGCTTCGTGGCCGACCTGCCCCAGCCGGCTGCCGGCGTGCCCTGCGCCCAGGCTTGCGGTCGCCTCTTCGTGTGCCTGTGGCGGCCGGCCGACACCACGGCTGTGGTGGAATACACGGTGCAGACGGACGCGTGGCTGCCGGTGGCCGAGCTGCAGCGCCCGCAGAGCTACGGCCACTTCATGGTGGCCCACCGCGACAGTCTGTACGTGGTGCGCAACGGGCCATCCGATGACTTCCTACACTGTGCCATCGACTGCCTCAATCTGGCCACTGGCCAGTGGACGGCGCTTCCTGGCCAGTTTGTCAACAGCAAGGGAGCGCTCTTCACTGCGGTGGTGCGTGGTGACACCGTCTATACTGTCAACCGCATGTTCACGCTGCTCTATGCCATCGAGGGCAGCACCTGGCGGCTGCTCAGGGAAAAGGCGGGCTTCCCACGGCCCGGCTCCTTGCAGACCTTTCTCCTGAGGCTGCCTTCTGGCCCTCCGGGGCCTGTGGCCTTGACGACGCCTGAACTGTGACTCCTGGGCCGGGCTTTAGGAGGGGATGACCTTCTGAGTCTTCCCTGAGCTATGGCTGAGTCTATGAGGTTGGCCTTAGGTGTGGCAGGGAACTCTCTCCCTGGTTGAGACTTTTGGATGTCATGTCTTCTGGTGGTGTGAACATGTCCAAGAAACTCAGGGAGCAATGACAATGCTGGGGCCCTAGCCCTGAAATTACTTAAGTTTTTCTGAGAGCTGGTGGGTCACAATGTCTGTGGAAGGGGTAGAGGGGGTGGGATTTCTATCATCTAGGCTACTGCCTGAATGGGCCAGTAATCGAGCATGGCTAGCAGTGGGTTAAGTGATATTAATTAAACTGTCAATCACTAGGCAAGAATTAGGCAACTACTGTGTGCCCAGCACAGGGCTTGCCCTAATGTAGTTTGTAATTGCCAGGCAGGGGTCCGCAAAGCTTAGAATTTAGCCCAGAAAAACTCAATCTTGATTAACAAAAGGTTTACACATGTCTTGGTCCACAAAGGGTTGAAGGCAACATGCAAAACCCAAAAACCTCCCACAACATACCCCCATCCTGGTTCCTGGTCAGACGCCCACCCCAGTCCCGCATCCTTTCCATGCCCCTGGGCAGACTTCTCTGAGTAGTCCTGAATGGTCTCCATCCTCCGGGACCTGAGGCCCATGGGAAATCCTGGCCTCATCGCAAGCAGAGAATGCAGCATCAGCATGGCAGCCCCTGGACGTGGAGTCTAGTATCAGGGTTGCCCTAGCTGCCTTTCCCCTGATCTGTGTCCCAAGCCTTAGAGAATGCTGCCCTCGGAAGCCTGGGACCTTCTAGCCCTGGAGTAGCCTAATGTGATGAGTCATGACAATAAATCCTGACTTTTGCATCCTGTGAATTAAGTGCAAAGTACTTTCAGGTCCCTCTTCCCACTGCAGCCCTACCTTAGTCCTGGAGTTGGGTACCTTCTTCCTGTGGCAGATGAGATATGTGAGGCTCAGAGACTGAGTGACTGGCCCAAAACACTGGCCCATGCCAAAGTATAGCAGAGTCCTCATTTTTGGGTTTTGTTAAAGTATAATTTGTATCACATGTCCAAGATTTATTTAACTCATTAATAAGGGAATCAGGAATGGTAAAGCTAGTTTATCAAAGGAGCATTTGAGAGAGAGATTTGTATATTTGGTTGGAAAAGACATACTGAAATAAGTTGACTAAGGTAAGAAATGAAGCTGGTTAATGTCTTACAGTGCAATAAAACCATAAATTTTATTGTTCTCTACTGGACTAAAATCTTTTGCATCTTCACATACATGCACATGCATACTTGTACATGCAGCTACATGTCAGCATATAAGTTCACAAAGTCAGAACCCTAATCAGTAGTAAACTATAAAACAAAGGTACATTCCCCTAGAGAATTATGTAACTCTTAGGCTGTTCAATTCTGCCCCAGAATGACATTGAAAGGACATGCAGTCCTTTTGCCTACTTAACAGTACAGTGAGATCTTTTTGCTCAGTCTAGTGCTGACCACCCTGAGACTTGCAATCTCGAGATCTATCAGCTCATTTGCTCTCTCAATCCACAGAATTTTGTGTTTGTCAGCTTTTGCAGCTGGCTGCATGGACCAGGCCACATGGGGCCTGCTGGCTCCTGAGGCTCGGTCATTCCTTGATCCAGAGCAGCCCTTTCAGAGATGTCTTTTGTGCATAGTAATTACACAATGTTTACAGTTTTCCCACAGTTGACTTATTTAAACTTTATAAGATTTTAAGTGATAGGCAGCTCAGCAACACTCCCACTCCCCTCCTAGAGGAAAACAACAACAACGACCCAGAACACCCAAAGGTTATGGGATTGGAAGAGGCACAACTAGGAAGTAGCCGAGTCCAGCGTTGAACCCAGGGCCAGGTGCTTATTTGCTGTTGCTGCCTCCCTGCTTGGCTGACATTCTAAGATGAACAGGGTGTTTCTGCCTGTCTCCTTAACAGTCCCTTCTGTTACCTTCTCTCTACACCTCCACTTCTTGGGGCTCATCTGCTTCCCTGGACCCAGCCCTCTCCCTCCTCCTCCATAGGAAAATTCACCGCCCTGGGTCCTTTTGGCCCACTTCATGAGGGTGTTAATGACCTGTTAAAGCCCTGGGGTGTGTTTGCACTTTCACAGAGGCTCCCTTCATCTCAAGAAGTATGGAGTAAGTTCTCAAAATCCAGCCCACCTTCTTCTCTGGCCTCAAATGTCAGACTCCATTGTTTCTCACAGTCCACCATGCTTAGCAAGGATTGTGATCGTGTCAGGTTTGTAGGTAAGGAAATCTCTCTGTCCCAGTCCAGAGGCCCATTATGAGAAATCTGTCATTCCAGAGAGATCTCCATGAAACACACATACACACACACACACAGAGCTAACTCTGCAAGGAACATTTTCCTGATCCTCCTTGACAGCCCTGCTGCCCAACTTGCTGGAGCTCTCTCCAGTTGTCCACAAGCTCTCCTTGACCTTGAGAGTTTAGTGTCTCGATGTCCTGCACCCCAAGCTTTCCTCTCCCTGGAAATTACCCTGTTCTGCATATATAGCGTGCCTGACAGGCAGAAGGAGAAGCCAGACCTCACACTTCACCCAGGGCCTGCGTCCCTTCTTGCCTCCCTTCAGTATGCTCATGTGGCAGCCAGAATGAAATGCCAGCCAGACCTGTTCCTCTTCTGCTCAGACCCTTAGGTTGCTCCTCAGCTCACTAGAGTGAAAGCCAAAGCCCTTTCAGGATCCCCTGCCCCATTTCCTCTCTGACGTCTTACCACTCACCCCCAGCCTCATTGCAATTCAAACGCACAAGACACACTCCCACCTCAGGCCTTTTCACTGAGTCCCTCTGCTGGGAACACCTCCCTCATTTAGCCTTCTGACTCACTCCCCACCTCCTGCAGGCCTTTGCTCAGATGTCACTTTCATTCTGAGGCCTTTCCTGACCACCCTACTTAAAACCTAGCTCTTCCTTCTCTACATTCTGTATACCCTTTATTGCTTCACTTCCCTCCATAGCATCTAGCATCACCTACCGTTCTATATTTTTACTTATTTAGTGTCTGTTCTTCCTCCTAAAACCGAGCTCAATGAGGACACAGATTTTTGTCTGTTTAGTCATTGTTGTATCAGCCAGGACCCAGAACAGTGACTAGAACATAATAGGGGTTCAATAAATATTTAATGAATGAATGGTGCTGAATGGATATCTGGAAAATGAATGAGTTGATCAATCAATCGAAGGAGAAACTCATAGAGGCTGTTAGATTTCAGAGTAGAGGGTATCATTTCTGCAGGGATGAGGGACAGGTGTTAGGAGAGGCCTTCATGAGGACATGATGAGCTGTCAGGCCCACCACACTTTGGGAAGAGTGGGATCTTGGAACAGCAGCAGCTGGTAGGGCACTTCTCTGCCTTCAATGGAGGGGAGGAGACTGGAGTTGGAAGTGGTAATCACTTTGTGAAGAATTGCTCCTCTTGGCGGTGGAATACACACAGGGCTGGTCTGTTTATTTTCCTTTGGCCCCAAGCAGCTGGGCCTCTTTTTCATCCTAATTGCTTTGCTTCAAGTTGCTGTCACTTCCTAGAAATGGCAGCAAATTAACTGTGCTGGTGGGAGACACAGCTGTGGGCAGACAGGCCACCTTGGAGCATGCCAGTCATAGGCACAGAGTATGGGACCCCAATGGAGGACTCTCCCAGGACTCATCCCAGCAGTGTCCTCTGCGGCCATCACAATTCTGCCCCAGTTGGAGTGGGGAAGCATGAACAGAGGGAGCCCCTCTCTGGTGTCTCAGCTGCTAACAAAAGGTAAAGGGGGCCTTTTGTGGGGCCACAGGATCTTGGAACAGGATGCTAGCATTTCATCCAACCCCTCTCTTTTTACAGGGAGGAAAGGGAAGTCAAGGTGGGCCAGGTAACTTGCCTGGAGACACAGCAGTGCAGTGGACCACCCCTAGCCGAAACCCAGGTTTCTAGAATCCTCTTGCCACACCACACTGCATCTCTTGTGTTACCTTCCAGGACACCCATGAAGGAGGTTCCCCCAAGTGACCCATCAGGCCTACCCCTCTGATTCCAGGCTTCCATCCTTACTTTTTCTAGTAAGTCTCTCTCCTCATTCTTTGAGCATTTGGCTTTCATTCAGCAGATAAAGACAAAAGAGCTGGTCTCTATTGGTGGTATTTGGGCACCTGGGCTCTTCAAAAAAAACTCTCTCTCCCCTTTCTCTCTCTCTCTCTCTCTTTCTCTTTCTCTCTCTCTCTCTCTCTCACACACACACACACACACACACACACACAATTTTGACAACTCTAAGGGTGGCCTGATGCCATTACCCCAGTATGCTTCTCTTTCCAGTAACATTTTCATTCTAACTGGGGCCTTCTATAGATGTGCCTAACTCCATGTTGTGATTAGCACAGGGAATTTTAGGTGCTCTGAGAGGGACGTAGCCTTGGGTTGGGGTGGAAACAAGGGACTGAGGATCTTGCAGGCACCACTCTGCAGAGGCTAGCTCTGCCTGCCAGGCAACCAGCTGGTTTTTGAGTTAAACCCTGGCTCTGACAGCTAGGAGAGTAAAATGAGAACCTAGGCCAGCAGATGTTATGCTCATCTTCCTCATTCCTGTCTCCTCCCTTCCTTTTTACTCTTCCTCACGCCTACATTGAGGCCCTTTCTGTGAAGCAGCCACAGGTTGGAGGAGCCACACCTGGTTTTGCTGTCGACGCACTTACCACTCAGTGAGGAGGCAGGATGGCAGAATGGAGAAGCATCGGCTTTGGTGGCGGGGGACCTGGGTTCACATTCCAGCTCCATCCCTTGCCGGCTGTGTCATCTCGGACAAACTCTGCAGCGTTGTTGTGTGAAGCACCTGGAGCTCTCCCGGTAGGGAGGGAGGTTGGAGCCTGAGTGTAAAGAGCCTTCAGTGCCAGGCTAAGAACTTGGACCTTACTCTGTAGGAAGTGGGGAGCCCCAGCAAGTGTTTGTGGAATAC